TTTTGTTCTTTGATATCTTCTAAACTGACAAGATTATTAAGATTATTTTTAAAATATAAACTTTTTCTTAATAATTGAGTCATAGGATTATATGTTGTAGGTAGTTGATTCCAAATCTGAATACTTTTTTCGATCTCTCTATCCCAGTAACCACTATCTCTTAATCGATTATTATTAGATTCAGTGTTAATTTCATTTATTAATTTTAACCAGATATTATATGCGTCATTATTTATCTGTTGATTATATTTGATTATCTCAGATATTTCATCGATTGTTTTAACTTCCGGATATTCTATATCTTCCATATCTACAGGTTTATTCTCTTGTTGAGGAGGTTCTAATTTTTTTTCTTTATTCATTATTGCTCTGAACCACATTATTCCAAATAATTCAGCATTCGAAAATTTATCAAATTTTTCTTCTTCTATTTCATATTGACAACAATCAAAATATTCTTCTTGATTATATTTACATTTACATTTATATTGATTAAATGTGTAAACTGAAGAAATAAGAATAAAAAGAAAAAAATATTTTTTCATTTTTTTTTATTATTTTAAAATAAAATAATTACAGTATTTATAATTATTCTTTAATAATATATTCTAATAAATTTTGTTTTCTATTGTCATCATCAGCATTTTTATTTATCCATGCTGTAATTAATATATTTAAATATTTAGTTGTTCCTGATTTATAAGGAGCAAATTCAGTATCTACTAAATTCTGATTTATATAATTATTCCAATTACGATACATTTTTTTGACATTTTCAATATCTTTTTCATTGGTAAAAGCAAGATACATACTACGAAAAGTATCTCTAACTTGATTCAGATTGAGTACTACATTATCATATTGACTAATAGGTCGAAGTTTATCTGAATTATATATAACATCTTCCATTGGTTCATATTCTAATTCATTAACATCACGTAACATATTTAAATTTCTTTTTAGAAAAAGACTTTGTCTAAGTAATTGTGTCATAGCTCGATAATTTGGAGGTAAACGATCAAACCAAGTAAGACTTTTAATATTATTATCCCACAGCCCTTTATCAACAAGACTGTTAGTATCCATCTCTTCATAAAGATTTCTAATTAGTTCTAACCAATTATTATATACTATCGATTCGATATCTTTACCACCTTTGTAAGTATCAATTGTTTCTTCAACAGTATCAAACTCTGGAAATTCAACTCCTTCCATCGGCTCATTTGGTTGTTTAGGTTGATTGGATTGAGGAGGTGGTACAGGTGTAGTAGCATCATTAATTGATGGTTTCATCAAACCAAAAATTAACATTTCATATATATCATTATCAGAAAATTTTTTTATGATTAATTCTTCCTCATCAAAAATACAACAGTCATAGTATGGATTTTGATTATATCGGCATCTACATTGTTTTTTTGAACAAACCAAAGTTACAAAAAATAAAATTAACAAAAGTATTTTTTTCATTTTTATTTATTTATAAAGCGGACATACTTTATTTATAGAAATATTAACCAAAGATGTTAAAAAAACAAAAGATTTATAAATTTAATTTCGAACAAAAAGTATTACATTGATGTCAATTGATAACATTATTAATTCCTCCTATTCCCAAATTAGTTCTACCAAATAAATTATAAACAGAATTAATTGCAGAATCAGTTAATTCGTAAGTATCTAAGTCTCCTTGTAAATCACTAACAACTAATTTTTGGCTAGAATAATTATATGTAAAATGTGTGAAAGCTTCTAATGTTTTACAACGTTCATCTGAAAAATAATTTCCATTATTATCATTAAATTTTTCAAAATAATTTAATTTAGATTCTAAAAAATATAGATCATTATAATAATTTGCTACATAAATATTTTTAAAGCTAATTTTTCGTGAAGTTGTTTCAGTATTATTAAATTGATTTCCTAAAAACTGAGAAACTAATGTTGTCAAAACTGCAGATTCGTATCTTTCTATACTACTTTCTTCTTTAAAACGTTTAATCACAATATCTGCACCAGTATAACAATTACTACCAAAATATGCAATTTTTTCACCACCTTCTAAAGGTATTTCATAATTGATTTTAATAATATTATTGGTTCTACTAATATTTGATTCATTTTCAAAATAGTTAAAAATTTCATTAAGATTCATAAGTGATCTAAAGCTAATAATTTCTACATCAAATTCATTTTGACCAGATAATAATGATTTTTCAATGTTAGATATAGTATAATTAGCTTGTTTTTTTGAACGTAAAATTGAAGGTCCTCTTAATTGTGATGAACCAACTAATCCAAGTTTATTCATAGCTGTTTGATGATGACCATAAGACATTTTTAATAAAATTAATATTTTAACAAATCGTATTTTATTTTTTTATTAATTTGAAACAAAGTTTATTTAAACAAAAAATTTTAAATATTCTTACAAAGAATAAACCTAAATATAGTATTTAAAATAAAAAAATAAAAAATAATTATTTAACGTTTTTCAATTCTACATGAGAATTTTTTTTCTTTTCTATTTACAAAATTTTTTAAATCTGACTCAGGTCTGTAACCAATATTAATGAATAATTTATCTATATTTATATAATTATGGATTATCCTCCGATAAAAATTGTCAATCACTTTTTCTACGAATTCTTTACTCTCTTTTTTGTTCAAGATCTTATCTGTATGAAGGTCTTCTTCTAGTAATTTTGAATGACCAAATTCTTTATTTTTGTCTTCTGTTAAATTGAGCCAAATGGAGACAATTTGTATATTTTTATTTTTGAACCAGAATTCTTTTTCAACATGTGTATCAAAAACTTTTAATTTTTGGTAGATTACTTCCATTTTTTTTTTATAAAAAAAAAATTAAATATAATTCGTCTGTTTAATATATTTATTTAAAACAATATATTTGATAACAGTATTGTATTGACTTATTTTAAATAATGAATTTAAAAATAATATTGTGTTATATAATCAAATTATATAATTAATTACATAAGAAATACTAAAAAGTAGGACCTCCACGTGTAAGATTATCATTATTTTCAAATAAATAATCTACATCTTCAATATCTTTTTTAAGTTGATCTCACATTTTTTCATCTATTTCTTCTTTTTTTGGTTTAATCAGTTTTTTCTTTTTTTCTTTATTTTCAGATTCAGATTTTTGGTATTGCTGATTATGACCATAGGCAAAAGTAATTTCATCGTCTTTAATTTTTATTAAAATTCCTTGTTGCTTATTACCACTATCACTTTTCTTTTTTGTTTTTTCTGACATCTAAAAATATATAAATTAAAAATCAATTTAAAAACTACTTTATAAATAATTTGAATTAATTTACGTTTGAATTTTCTTTTGTCTTTATTTATTCTATATAAAAAAAAAAATTAATTTTTATCAAAAAAAAAAAAAATAAATAAATAAATATAACTTACTTGTTTAAATTTTTTTATGTCTCGGTTTATCTTGATCCCTAACGCAATGATGTTAGCAGCAACTAGAACTCCGATGATCACAGGAGGTATCATTTTTATTTGAAAATAAAAGAACTATTTTATATATTTTATAATTATACAAAATAATAAAGTTTATTGTTTTTTTTAAAACTATTGTTCTTTTTTATTTAATTAAACTAAAATTTTTTATTTAATTTAATAATATACTATTTAATTTTACGCCTTAAAACAAAAATAGAAAATTAAATAAATAATTACTCATTATTGTTCTATATTTGATTTAATAAAATGCTGTGTAAATTAACTATTATAATTACCTAATTAATTTATTTCAATGAAATATACGTATTTGAAGATTTAAAAAATAGTCTATAAATAATCTTTTTTTTTTATTTTTTTTTCTTTACGAGAAATTGAATATTTGAAGGTAACTAAAAAAAAAATAAATCATATGATTATATAATATTAAATACAAATAATCTTTTTTTTAAGATGTCATCAGGTAAAAAAAAAGTAGTAGAAAAAAAGAAAAATGAAAGTGGTAATAAGCAACAAGGAGCTATGATAAAGCTCACAGAAGATGGTGGTGTTATATTTGCCTATGGTCATAATCAGCAATACCAAAAATCTGAATCTGAAAATAAAGAAAAAAAGAAAAAACCGATTAAACCAAAAAAGATTGAAGATTAAATAATTTTTCTTTCTTTTTTTTCTTAGAAAATAATTCCAATATTGTTGATATAATTTTCCAAGATATCGCAAAAACAACTAAAGAAAATTTAGAATCAAAAAAATCTGAAACTAAAGAAGATAAAGATAAAAAAGAAAAAAAGAAAAATGTAGAAGAGTTTTCTTTTACCGAAAATGATAACAATAGTTTTTCATTTAAAAAGATTGAAAAATCTGAAAATGGAATTACTTTTTCTCAATTTTCTAGCTATAGTTATTCTAAAGAATTGTAACTTTTTTTGTTTTATTTTATTATTCAATTTTTCTAAATATTTTACTTATTAAATAAATTTATAAAATAAACAGTTTTTTCTCTAGTATAAATATAACTATCGTTTATCTTATTCAATAAAAAAAATGAAAATTTTATATTTGTTTATATATTTTATTATTTTTATATCGATTTTTTATCGATTAGAAATATATGCTTCTTGTTGTCAAAGATCTAATCAAATTACATATAAAAATTCATATTCATCAAAGATTATACGAAGATGTAGTTGTTGTAAAAAAACAGGTCACAATATAAGAACTTGTACAAATATTTGTATATAAAAATATATAAATATATTGGTAGTAAAGAATATTTATTTTAAATTAATAAAATGAAGAAAGACGAAATATTATATTATTATAAAGTTTTAGGATTGAATGAGCGAGCTAATGATTCAGAGATAAAAAAAACATATAGAAAATTGATTTTGATTTGGCACCCAGATAAGAATATCAATAATAAAGATGAATCTGAAAAAAAGACAAAGGAAATCACAGAAGCATATAGAATAATTACTGAATATAGAGAGAAATTTAAAAAGACAAAAAAACCAAAACCAAAAAAATCATACACGAAACAAAAATCTAAAACAAGAAAACCAAGACAAACAAAACCAAAACAGACAAAACCAAAACAAACTAAATCTAAACAAGAAGAACAGCAAAAATCTACAAAAACTGAACCAAATATAACAAAAGCAGAAGTTGATAAAGAAATATTAAATTTTCTTCGTGCATTTTTAAATTCATATCATGATTTATAGTGTAACAAATTTGATAAAATATAGAAAAATTAAATTTTATATTTCTAATGTAAAAGTACAATCATTTTTTGAAACATATTGTTTTTTAGTATTGTAATTTAATATATTATCATTATACTTTTATTTATTTATACTTGAATTTCTGTTTATTAATTTTTTACGAATAAAAAAAAATGAGCAATAACGATAAAAATACAATCGATAAAGAAACTGCACGTATCAAACAATTACTACAAGATCAAGAAAGAGAAATCAAAGATGAGAAAGATAAATACGAACAGTTGCTCACTTTATTTGATAATGTGAAAACTAATGTATCTAATGCTATAAAAAATAATCTACCTGATATCTTGAAGAAGGTACTTGCAGATGCTAATATCGATGAAGATGTGAAAAAAACTGTAACTGATAAATCTGAAGAAGTAATCAATAAATTAAATGAAAAGGTTAAAGGTGTTGGAGTAGAAGAAGAAACAAATGTATTAAAAAATATTCAAAGAAAAAAACCTACAAATACATAAATCTAAAAAAAAATATTATAGTTGAAATAATTTATATTACTGTACTTAAATTTTTTATTTTATATTATTTAATAAATTATATTTTTTATTTATACTTGAATTTAATTTATTCGTAAATAATTTTTTTATAAATAAAAAAAAATGAATGATAATAAAAAAGTACTTGATGAAGAAATTGCACGTATCAAAAAACTCTTGAAAGAGCAAGAAGAAGAAATTAATATTGAAAAACAAAAATATTATCAATTACTTGAATTATTTGATAACGTAAAAAAAAATGTAGTTGATGCTATAAAAGAACATTTATCTAAAACATTAAATGAAACACTTAAAAATCTTAATGATGATATAAAAAAATTAATAATTGATATAAAAAATATTGACGAAATTGTAAAAACAAAAACATATTATCCTGATAATATTGATTTGTAAGTTTCATTTGAAATTAATCATAAAAGAAAAAAAAATAATAAAATTTTGTTTATTTAGAAACAATAAAATCAAAGAAAAAATTTTAGAAGCATTAAAAGATCCTGACTTAGATCAAGATGAAAAAAATGATCTTTTGAATTATGGTATATTTAACGCTGATAAATGGAAAGAAGAAAATTTTTTTAAATATTTTACTGATCTAGATACTTCAATTACACAAAATACGTTCAAAAATTAAAAAAAAATATAATATTAAAATGTATTTTAATTTTTTATAAAATATTCCAAAAAATATTAATAAAATTGCAAGAAAGAAATCATTACACTATACGTATTATATTATAAGTATTTTTTTATAATTTTATTAGTTTTTTATTTTATGTATATTTTATTTTATATTATATAAATAAAATGTTATAAATTGCTATCAAATTTTTATTCTGTTCAAAAAAAAAATGTCATATTCTGTTCAACACAAAGTCCAGTTAGCAGCAGAAGCTGCACGTCTTGCACAACTTTTAGAAGACCAAGAAAGAGAACTCGATTTATGGAAAGATGTTTATAACAAATTACTCGAGAAAATAACAAATGTTAAGGATGATATAACCAATGCTGTGAAAGAAAATCTACCTAATATCTTAAATGATACACTCAGAGAAGCTAAAATTGGTGATAATATTAAACAAACAATAATTGACGAAACAACAAAAATTATTAATGAAATTGATAAAAATCCTGAATATGATGATTTACAAAAACAAATTGACGAATTGAAAAATACTAAAAGAACAGGATAACATTATTAATTTATTTTTTTTTTTTATATGTATTTAAATATTTTTTATATGTATTTTTGGTTTTATATATTTTATAAAAATTTTTTATATATAATAAATAAAATATTCGATTATTTTTTATTAAAAAAAAAAATGAGTAGAGCTCATTTATTAGTGAAAAATTGGAACCATCGTTATGGAGGTGTTCTTCAAATGCAACAAAACATTAATAGAAGTATCACTACTTATAATAACTATGGTAGATTTCAAAAAAACCATGCTCAACAATTAATTAAAATAAACAATATGCGTAGAGATCTTATTGCTGCTAAAAAAGAAGTAAAAAAAATAAAGAAAGAATATCTTAAAGAAAAAAAGAAATTAGAAAAAGAGAAAAAACTTCATAGTGAAACAAAAAAAGAATTACAAAAAATTGAAGAAGAACGTAATGAACTTAAAGAATTAAACAAAAAAGAAAAAGAAAAAAATAAAGAACTTGAAGAAGAAAACAGAAGATTAGAAAAAACTATCGAAGATCTTAAAAAAAATCACAAGATTGAAATTGAAGAACTAAAAGAAAAAATTAAGGATAAAGATGATGAGATTAATGATCTGAAAAGAGAACGTGATAGGTATAATAAAATGTACGAATCACAAAAAAAAATTGCTAAAAAATTAGAAAATGATAAAACAGAACTAAACAAACTCATTGAAGATTGTAAGAAAAATCATGTGAATTATGATTCAATAAAGAGTGAATTAGAAACTGTTAAAAAAGATAAAGAAAAACTAGAAAAGGAAAATGATGAATTAAAAAGTAAAACGGAAGAAAAAGAAAAAAAGATTGATGAGATAAATAATAATGTTAAAGAAATTTTTAATTTAGTTAAAGATTTACCTCCATCATTATTACGTGAGATAGTTAAGGAGATGGAAAAAGATAAACATGAAACAGTTGATATCAAAGAACAAATACAAAGATTACAGCAATTGTCTAGATAATCAGTAAACTTTATTTATATAGTTTTATTTTATTTTTTTTATATTGTTTATTTTAAATATTATATAAATAAAAAATATATATTTTATATAACAAAAAAAAAAAATACGTTAATAATATAAAAAATACAAAATATAAAAAATAATTAATCTAATTTTGGAAGAGGTTCTAATTTTAAATTAGATTCTAATTTTAATTTAGGAGGTACTTTATTTTTATGTTTTGGAGAAATATTTTGAGAAATATTTTGAGAAGCATTTTTATATCTAAGATAGAGTATTTCAGCGTCTTTTTCTTGTTTCTTCATATTATCATAGTGTTGATGATAAGCTTTTACTTGTTTTACAAGTTTATAAGGTTTAGCGTGAGTGTATTTTGATAATTCAATCTTTTTTTCATTCCATTGTTTTAAAGCTGAGCTTGTATTTCTTTTAGCTTTTTGCCAGTTATCATGAAGTTTTTTTTCTGACATTTTTTTTTTTTGAATATGAAAAAAAAAATTTTTTTTTTAATTATAACGAATAAAAAAAATATCTATTTATTTTTACAAAATTTATAGATATATTCTGAATAATCAGGATTGTTAATTGCATTTAATATTTCTTAATTTAGTTTAATTTAAAATTTAATTGTTCTTGATTTAGATTAATTCAAGATAATAAAAATTTTATGATTGTTCTTATCTTTATTTTGTAAGCAATAATATAAAGATTATGTAATTTTATCGATAAACTTTTTATATAAAATAAAGTTCTAGATAAGAAATAAAGTTAAAAGTTAAAATCAGAATGATCTGTGAGTAATTTTTTGTTGTGTTTATCAGTTAAAAAAAATATTTACGTATTTTTTTTAGGTAATTGTAACAAATACGATTGTCCAGTTTGTCCAGGTTGGGGTCCAGAACCAACAAGAGAAAAAGAATGGAATTTAGAATGTTTTTGGTGTAAAAAATATGTTAGACAATGTACTTGTGGTTTTAAAAATTGGAATTGGAATGAAATAACTTACTGTAAAATATGTAAGAAGAACAATCATGATACGAAAAATTGTTGGTTCAAACAAAGAACAAGATACTGTAATATTTGTAACAAATACAATCATTACTATTCCGATTGTTGGTTTAACAAATATAATTATAATAAATAAATAAAATTTTATATTACTCTTATCATCTTTAAATAATTTAGAATGTTCGAATTTTATCTTCTTATTTAGATTTGGAGTGTCCAAATTCTTTTTGATAATGCAATCTCAAATATAGAAATAATCTTTTATAAAGAAAATAATATACGATACTAAAAAATATAATATTAATAATCATATTTCCTGTGATAGCACAGATCCAAAAAAGGTCTAACTTAATATTTTTTATGATTTTTTTATCGTGATAAAAATCAACGAGAAACAAAATAGGTAAAGATAAAATTAAATGAATCAAAATAAAACAAAGATAATTCATGTTTATAAATTATTCTTAGAATGTTCAAATTTTTATATTTTAATTTTGAATACTTTGTTTAGAATACAGTTTTTAAGAAAAAATATCCAAAATATATGCTCATAATAAAAATAAAAGAAATCATTGTGTTTAGATGATTTACAGTATCTTCGAAAAACAAAGTATATATTTATAAATATTTTTTTAACGTAATCTTTAATCTATCTAAATTTGTATTTATTGATTCTGATCAATAGATCGAGACCTAACATTCTTTTGATTTTTGTTATGCTAACTTTGATAAAGTAAAAGAATTTATTTGTGTTAATTGATATGAAAGATTAAAGATTAAACGTTCGAGAGAATAATATATAAAAAAATTCGTTATAAAACAGAAGAAATTTTATCTCTTGTTCATTACGATTTACTCGTTAAACCTTAAAATTTTTCAAATCAAATCAATATTTATACTTTAAAACTTTAAATAAAATTTAAAAACTTATAAAAATGCTTTCAAAAATTATCATTCTTATTGTTATTGCTTTTGCTTTCTTGGGTTTGTTCTTAACGAACCTTTCTGTTGGTGAATATGATACATATATTCACCAATTTATTTTTAGAATTATTGAATCCAAAACTTTTTTTTGGATTTGTGCAATTATTATAAATATAATTACATTATGTATAATAATTTCTCTCTACCAATTATGGTTTTGGAACTTTATGTATGAACATTTTCCAGAACGATTAATTTATTGAGGTAAAATAATTTTTTATTAAATATAAAATAAAAAATATAAATATATATATTTTACATAAATTTATATGTTTGAAAATTTTTTCCTATAAAAAATAATAAATCCTTTATTTTGAACCACTCATTTCCTATAGGCTCCCAATCATCTACATTCGGTATTTCAATATTGAAAACTTGCATATCATCAAACCTATTTGGTTTGACTTTATAAGTTGCAAGCATATTAGGATAGAGATCAATATTCTGTAATATGATCTCAACAACACGACGAACTGTCGGTCCTTCTTTAAGCAGTTCAGCCATATCTGCTTGAAATTCTTCATTAAAAAAATGAAGATAAGAAAACCCTGGAGATGTAGGAGTTGCCATTTTGTAAATTAGGTTTTCGTATTGTTTGTTTGGTAAAAGTTTTGAAAAATATTTTTTAACTGAAAATGAGAGTTTTCTGAGAATAGAAGGCATGTTGGTTGAAGATTGTTTACTTTTATATTAGTTTTATGTGGAAATGTTTTGTGATGCATGTGGATAATTTTGAATTCATTTTATATGAATTAAAATAGAATTTCGATGTAGAATTCTTTAAATAATTTATCTAAATTGTATTGATTAACATTATTTTGAACCAATAAACTATTTTTTATATAAAAAAAATTTCTTGTCGCAATATTTTAAATGATCAACAAAGTATTTTTGGTCAAGTACAGTACAAAAAATATCAACAGTTATTCTTATTTGTAACATCAATAAAAAGATTATAAATAATTTTAAAATCATTTTAAAACGTAAAAAAAATATTTAAACAAGTTTATTATTTTATATATACTTTTTTGGTTAACTTTAATATATTTGGTTTCATTCTCAGTATCATATTATTATTGAAATTCTTTGTTACGATTCTTACATAAAACTGGTCTGGATTTTTTTGAACGATTAAATCTACCTTTAATTAAATTTCTCTTTATACAAAATGACAAAATTTAAAAACAAAAATATGAACAATTTTTTAAAATCTCAACAACAATTATATCAAAAAACTAATTTATTATTTGAAATACAAAACCAACAAATTAAATTTCTTAATGAAATTGAAAATTTTGATATCGAGGAAGATAACCTTTCCTCATCCTCACAAGAAGGAGATTATTAAAATTTAAGGTATTTTCTTATATAAAAAATTATTATTATTTTTAAAATATTTTATAAATATAAACTTTATTTATAATATAGATTTAAATAGTCCTACGTCCAAAGTGACATTGACATCAAATAATGTCAGATCACAAGCTTTGAAAAAGCTTGTTAATTTTGATAGTTTAATTTAAATTGTCTATCTTCATGATTATATGAGTAATACATATCGTATAATCATGAAGATAAACAATTTTAATGCAATCTTTTATGTAATTTTTTTTAATAAATCAAAATGTAATTATATAATAAAAATAATAAAATTATCAAATTACGTTATTTTGATCATCTGATTTCATATTAATTTTTAATATTTAAGGAACTGATTTTACTGATTGTAAATAAAAAACGTAAAATGAATTTTAAGATTTTAATTATTTTGATATTATACGTTAATATTGTTTACAGTATTCAAATTTTCACAAACAAAACATGCACTTGGGAAGGAACATTTGATAAAGTTGAAAATAAAAATGTTCAATATAACATTGAACAAGAATTAGAAGAACTTCTCGATTCTTGGACAGATGAAAATTGGACTTTATTAAATGAAAATATAAATTTTGAATTTAATTATGAATGTAATGAATTCACAGTTACTATAGAACGAGAATATGATAATGGTTACAATGATGATAATGATGATGATGATAATAATGAATAATTTTTTTATTATTTATTTTTTAAACGAATATAAATATGATGTATTTTACAAAGTTTTTTTAAGTTTAATCATGGCTACAGTAAAAGAATTAAAATCGTTATTAAAATTTAATAGTATTAAAAAAATCAAAGAAAGTATTATTGATTTAATAGAATTAAATGAAGATGAGTTATCAGAAAATATTGAAACAGAAGAAGAATCTTATGATGATTCAGATAATTCTGAAGAATCAGAAGAAGTAATTATAGAAAAACCAAAAGTAAAATCTAAAAAAAAAAGAAAATTAGACGAAAAAAAAACTTCTAAAAAGAAAAGAAAATTGAGTAAATATAACATATTTATGAGAAATGAAATGAATAGATTAAAGAAAGATGGTGTTGCATCAGATAAATTATTTTCAACAGCTGTTAAACACTAGAAAGAATCTAAAAAATAGTTTTTTTAAAATATTCGTTATTAAAGTATTTAAAAATTTGTATTTAATTTATTAAAAAATATGTTAATAAACAAATTATTAATTATATATCTTTTCAATATTTTTCTCGTTAATTATTTAAATGATAAACAAATTTTACGATCAATTGATTTAAATGATTCATTTTGGTTTATTCCATTTTTAGAAAATCTGTTAGTAAATATAGGATTTTACTATGTTGCAAAACATATAAATATTGATATACTTATATTATAAATCGATATTCTTTGTTCAAATTAGATCATCAGTTCTTTGTTCTATTTTTAGATTAGATTTTTATTTATTTATATACCCTGATTATATTTTTTTATATTTTCATGTCACGCTAAAATTTTTTCTGTGTAAACAGTTTTTTGTAAGCAAAAAATTTTTAAAAAATATGAGTAATTTTTCGAGTGTAAAAAAGTATCAAGTTAAAAAAAATAACAAGGTATGAATATCTTTTCTGCTAAGTATTGCATGATTATGTATACTTTCGAATGTAAGTTACGCTGGAGTTGAGTGAGATTTGTGACTGCTTTTCGGCAAATAATCGCCTCTGTAGATTTGAGAGTTTAGTTAAAGTGAGGTCGAAGACAAGCTTTGCTAAAGGTACTATGAGATTATGATGTACTTATCATTTTTTTTTTAGAAAAAAAAAATCGATACAGCATGTAAGAAATATAAGAAAAAAATTCAAACTTTGTTGATTAATAATGGATTTGAATGTAGAAGTTATGAAAATGAAGAAGAATTATTCTATTCAGATCGTGATAAATATCTTGTTGCTGATTATGAGGATTTCAAGATTTTTATTTGTTGCAAGTTTAGAGATTATAATGATATAGGTTTTAATGATGTTGAAAGAACAAGTGGGTTTATACAAAGTTATCATAGTGAAGATACTGGTGTAATCGTAACTAACCAAAATTATTCAAAAAATGCATATGATCAAGCTAGTAAGATGAAAATTTTAGTATGTCAAACACAGAATTTATTAGAAAAAATTAAAAAAGAAATAGAACGTAAAAAACTTAAATTATCAGAAGGTCAAAAAGAACCTAAAGAAATTGTTATTGAACTTATAAGCGAAGAAATCATAGATGATAATGTAAATGAATAATTTGTTTTATATTTTATTTTACATATTTGTTTAATAAATTTAAATAAAAATTTTTTTTTAAAATCAATTAAAAATATTTAGCATATATTTATAAAAAAATATAAATAATAAATATATTCCTCGTATTTTATTCAAAAAAAAAAAATGAATCAAATACATCGATATAATGAAAATATAGATTCACTAAAAATACAAAAATTCAAAAATGAAATTGTAAATTTATATAGAAACAAAAAAACTTTCCAAATGATTACTGAAGTTGATTATGTATATGAATACGAACAAACATGTTTCAAATATTCTTTGAATCAAATACCAGAAGAGATATTAGTGTATTTAATGTATAATAGTTTTGCTAGATATAGGATGGAAAAATTTAAGATATATTATGAAAAGGTTGTAGAAAGAAACATAAATATAAATAATTATCGAGATAAAAATAATTCATTATTAGATATAAATTATATGAAATACATGCTTGATAATTGGATTCAACTATCGAAAGAATTTAATTTATATAAAGCAAATTTTACTAAAAATACTTTGTAAATGAAAATTTTATTGTAGCAAAAATATTTTACGAAAAATTGATTTACAGGATTTATTTAGTTTTGTTGTATTATTGGAAAATTTATTGATAAATATAGGATTTTATTATATTGTAACATACATAATTAAACATCATAACTATTACGATTTCCTGTGATCAGATCATGTTTTTTTTTGAATTTAATTGCTTCTTTCTTATTTTTAATATATTTATATTTATGTTTTTTATTTTCATTATATTGAAATATCCATCTTTTACCCGATTTATCGTAATAAATCCCATTATATCCTGAAGAATTATTTGTTTTTAATTTACGATTTAATTGATTTTCTCTTGGAGTTGTCTCTCTTATATTACATTCTCTATTATCTAATCCAGAACGATTTTTATGATCAATCATTTTCCATTCAGGATGAAGTAACTGATGAAATTTTAAAATTGTATCTTTAGACAAGTCTGATCTGATTGTAGACTTTTTTTCCTTGAGGTTTCTTGATACCCCAAAACCAATTATCAAGAACCTTGAAGGTTGAATAGATTTTTTTCCAAGAAGAATTCTCAGATTCTTGTTCAAAATTTACAGTAGTCATTTTATTAAAAAATATAAAAGAACAAATATACTCTTTATATATTTTAAAAATGTCAATTCCAAATTTAAAAACAATTAAAGAAATTTTATTTCAAGAAGATAAATGTATAAAATTTTTACTTGACAAAGATATTATCAAAATATCTGATAAATGTAATTATTGTAATAGTAAAATGTACAAAGTAAAAAAATTATTATTTAGATGTAGTGATTTAAAATGTAAAAAATCGATTTCAATATATAATAATTCATTTTTTGCAAATCAACGTTTGGACTCTAATGATATTTTATTAATGGCATATTTTTGGCTTTGTAAAATAAATTACAATTCGATAGCAAGTATGACCTCTTATTCTTCAACAACTATTGTAAAATATATAAAAATGTTTAGAGAATTAGTAAATAATTCATTAGTAGAAGATGATTTTTTACTTGGAGGAAATAGAATTATAGTAGAAGTAGATGAATCACTTTTTAAGGACTTTTGGGTAGTTGGAATTGTAGAACGAACAAAAGAGAAAAAATGTTATTTTGAAGTAGTTAAGGACAGGAATACATCAACATTAAGACGAATCATAGAAGATCATGTTAAACCAAAATCTATAGTATTTACAGATTGTTGGCGCGGGTATAATTTACAAGGATTAGATGTAATTCACCGAAAAGTAAATCATTCATGTGCTCAAGGAGAAACATTTGGGATTCATACTAATACCATTGAGTAATTATTTTTTTGTAAATCAAACTAATATTTTAAATAATATTTAATATTTTATTTTTTTTTTAGAGGTACTTGGAATGGTTTGAAGTTAATTATACCTGAACGTAATAGAAATAAAGTTATAATTGAAGAATATTTACTTGAATTTTGCTGGCGTAGAAAACATCAAGACAATCTTTGGAATTCATTTTTAGAAGCATTAAAAAAATAATTTTATTAAAAATTATTGATATAAATCTTTACTATAATTAATTTCAAAATTCCAATCTTTAATAATTCCACCTAATCTTTCAATATATAAAAATTGATAATTAATAATATTATATAAATTTCGAATAATAACTTTAGTAAAATCTTTTTCGATAAAATCAGAAAATTTAAATATTCTTTTTTTTCTATTGTAAATTTTTCTGATGAGTTCTTTAACTAAATTAATAATTGATTCTTCAATATTATATAGTTTACAAAAGTTATTATAATTAATACATTGCTGATATAATATTTCAATTTCATCTCGAACATATTGACAAAAATTACTATATATTTCAGCTTTATAAAAATTTGAACGATCAAGACAATAGTAACTTAGAATTCTAAGTTTAAAGTTGATAATTTTTAAATCTGAGTTTTTTGTTTTAATATTTTTTTTACATACGCAAAGTTTATCAATATTTTTAACAAATATTGACTTCCAAGTTCTATATTTTTTTGCTTTTGGTTTTGGTTCTTCGAGATCAAGATATTCACCAAGATTTTTCCAGAAAATATGATTATCAAGTATATTTTTCCATTTTTTACAAACTAAAGAAGCTTTTTGAAAAGTAAAAGGATCATTAATATAATTAAAGACAAGTTGAATATGATGAATTTCAACTTTAGATTTTTTGTTAGTTGAATTAGAAATTTGTTTTTTTGTTCGTTTCATTTTTTTTTTTGATTATAAAGAAAGAAATACAGGGTTTTATAATTTTAAGTTTTCTCTGAGTCAGATTTTGTAAAAATTTTTTTAATCACATGATATAATAATATTTTTTTTTTAAAAAAAAATCGCCTGAGAATAAATTATAAGTAATATTAAGAGTATAGATAATTAATTTTATAATAAGTAACATAGCGAAGGCTGCTTAGTTATTATCATTAGTGTTACAGATAATAACTCCCTAATATAAAAATAATCATTCGATACTATACTAAATTAACTAAAAATACAAGATATTCTTATAACCTTAATCAAGATAGAATCTTTTGCCTTGCTAAGATTCAACTAGGTCAAAATGCTCAAGAATTAGTAGATGCTTTAGAACCTCAAATTACTGACAGGTATAACTAAGAATACAGTGATGAAGAAATTAATTTATTAATATATGCTTCTTATATACAACTTATAAAAACAGAAGAACAAGAACTTCAAAGAATTCTTGCTAAATCCTTTGATACAAGCTATCTAGACTTTACTCAACAAGTTGCTATAGAAAACCTTTATAGAAACTTTTGTAGACAAGTCACTCTCTATAAAAAATATATATATCCTTACCAAAGAACCAAACTTAAGGATAACTATTGCCTTCAGTGCTATGATGAAATATACTCTTCTCTTCTTCTTCTTGAACCAGAAATTGAACCTGAAATACTATCTTCTTAACCTGAAGTACTTTTAATAACTCAAGCTAAACAAGAACCAAATCTTAATGATCTTGTTAAGTTGTTACAAAAACAAATTAAATAACAAGTCTAAGTTATTGACCTTCTACAAGTTCAAGCCAAAATCTTCGAATATCAAGTTCAAACTATTGAAGTATTATAATACAAAGTTAATAGTTTTGAAAGATTCTATAGACAAATAGAATACTTCTATAATGAATAATTTGAACAAGTAGATAGTGAACAGGCTACTACTTCTAATAACTCTCAAAATTTTTAAATCATCTCAAGTATGATATAAAACTACTTAGTGAATCAAAAAGATTTTCTACAGAACAAGAAGCTCATGAAATAGTTTTTAGAAATAATTTACAACGAAGAAAAATATATACAATAACTCAAAAAATTAAACTAAAATTAGAACCTTAACTCAGAAACAACAGATAATATTTAGACAATTATTGAAAGAATTTGCAGACCTTTTTGCAAAAAATATTACTCAGTTAGAAAAAACTAACTTAGTAACTCACAAAATCTATACAGAAGATATATCTCTTATAAGTTCTTGACTCTATATAGTACCTCTTACTAAACAAATATTTATTAATGAAGAAGTATAACAAATATTAGATAATAATTTTATAACCAATTCAACAAGTCCTTAGGCCTCTCCTGTTGTACTTGTTGCTAAGAAAAATGAAAAAAAAAGATTTTGTATTGACTATAGAAAACTAAATACAATTACTAAAAAGGATTCTTATCTTCTCCTCTAAATAAATAAAATATTAGATTCACTTATTAGAGCTACTTATTTTTTAACTTTTGATCTTATGAGTAAATACTGGCAAGTAATAATAAACCTAGCTGACAAAGAGAGAACAGTCTTTATAACAAGATATAGTACTTATAAATTCAATGTAATTCTATTTAAACTTTGTAATACCCCTATAACCTTCTAACGTCTTATGAATCAGATCTATAAGGGTATAGTTTACAAATATGTAGTTGTTTATTTGAATAATACTAATATCTTCTTTTAAAGTTTTAGTGATCATATTAAACATCTATGAGAAGTTTTTATAAGAATCAGAAAAGCTGAATTAAAACTTAATATAGAAAAATATAATTTTTGGATAACAAAATTACTTTTCTTGGAATATATTATTGAAGCTAAAGAAATTTCTTCAGACTCAGAAAAGATTATTGCTATACAGAATATTCAACCTTCTAAAAATATTACTCAGATTTGATCATTTTTTAGGACTTGTAGGATATTATCGAAGATTTATTAAAAGTTTCTTAATAATAGCTTGACTCTTGAACTAACTCTTATATAAGAATACTCCTTATGAATAGGATGACAATTGTCAAAAAGTATTTGAAGAATTAAAGTATAGATTAGTAACTGCCCCTATATTAATTTACTCTAATTATAAAGAAGAATTCATTCTTGTTACTGATATCTTCTATAATAGATATGAAGCTACTCTTAGCCAAAT